TGTGTGTGTGTGTGTTTTGCAGACAGGTTAGCAAGTATTTGCATATATAAGCGTGTCTCCAAGTAGCTGCACGTACCTGTAAGTTTGTGTGTGCATGCCATATGCCGTGTGTTAGACAGAAGTGGAATTGTGTTTTTCCGTGTGTGCGTGTGTGTGTTTGTGTGTATGTGTGTGTAGCCCAGCTCCAGAAGAGGATGAGTATGTAAATGGGTTATTATGCTGAGGAGGTCTGCAAATCATTTCCTGTGGGCTGACTATTTATCAGATCCCCTTGAGGTTTAGACGCTCCCCTCGCAAACTTGTCTGCTTGTGTGTGTGTGGGTGTATGAGTGTTTGTGTGTGTGTGTTTAAGGAAAATAAAAGAAGAGAGCTAAAAAAAGATTAAACAAGTTTGTTTTCCCTGCATCTTAAGGATAAAAAAGCTGATAATTTGCATTTTTCACCACCTTCACCACCAGAAGAAGCATAATAAAAAGTGTGAGGGCTTTAATCTGAAAGTGACAAACCAGTCGAATCAATTTCAGTCAATTTCTGACTGCCACACAAAACAATGAAAACACTGAATGCATGTGTGCAGTGTGAGTCTCTGGGTGCATGTGAGTTCACTGCATGTGTGTCTCTCTACCTTCCATACACAGACCTGCTTGCTGGGTGGTGACACTGCTGGCGAGCAAACTGAAAACTGCAAACGACAAAAGCTGGAACAACAGGAAGATAATTCAGATTTGATTGGTTTCACGTGTTCTTCATAAACAACAAAGTTTTCCTGTGCCTCCAGTGTGTTTTCCTGCAAACATGGAATCCATTTGTCCCCCGTCTTCATGCCCTGTAGTTGCAACAGGCTCTTACGTAGCAACACACACACACACACACACAGAATGAAATGAAAGCAGGCACACAGAGCGAGCCCACCACTGTGGCACTGAGATCTTTTGATATACAGTCAGGAACTTATTTTGAAAACAGCCACTTTTAGCTGCTAAAAATAATCTCGAGGGACTCAGAAACGAAAATGTGAATGAGGCTCGCCAGATCTGCCTCTCCCGTCAAAATAAATGTCCCGACAGAAGCTTGCGTCCTTTAATGTCATTGTAGTGAAACGTTTTCCTCAAGTATAGCCAAATCCACACATGCATAGGGCATTTAAAGGGTTGGTCTACTCAAATACAAGAAAACATATTTTCTCTTTTTACCTTAAACCATGGAGAAAGTTTAGGTTTTGAGATATTTGTCTCTGAGATTTCTATAAAATGGAAGTAAATGGAGTTTTGTTTATGGAACTCACATTTAAAAAAACATTGCAAGACATTTAATAGCAACATATTTTTTCTAGAAAGTGTCTCTGATAATCCACATAACACTTTGTCACCAGCTTGACCCCTAACCTGGAGGTCGGGACCCCTACGAAGGGTCCAGAGATAATCATCCAGGTACAAAAAGCTTTTAAAAAGCTATATTTTTTAGATTTGTCTCCAATCTTCATTTCTTTTTGTGAAAACTATAAAGTTTGGCCTCTCTGGTCCTCAAATTAAAGAATCTAACAATGAGATAATCACTCTTTGACAGAACTGCATGCAACCTAACAAGAGGTCACAATTGCTTTGTATTATGGATTCAAAAGCAAAACAGTTGGGAACATCTGTCTGAGAGAGTAGTGAGTGACTCGGAGTAAATAAGAACATGCAACAAGCAGCCATTCAATGGAAGTCCAGTTACATAGGAAAATTCTGTACACAAATAAAAATCCCCCAAAATACATCGGAATTCCTTACAGCTCAAAAAATGTACTTAAATCAGTCAGTAGGACCAGACATTAGAAACGAATGCCGGGCAGCCAAACATTGTTCAAACTTTACTTTACTTTACAAAGATAGCAGTTACGTCAGGTTATATCTTGGAAGGATGTGAAGGGGAAAACACATCAACTATATATTAGTGCATACATAAATACAGAATATACAACATATGAAACAGTCAGACAGCATGAAGTAAGATTATTTTAGCTGCATAAGGTGGAAGAAAAAGGGAAATGGTATGTTAAGAGGATAACTGAATACTTCTGTGCATGCTAATTGATGCTGAACAATTGCTGAAAGAAAACTGACTCTAATTTTTTTCTACCCTGTCAGACATACAGTTGTAGCTTTTTGTCAGTCACAACAAAGCTCCTTGTTGAGTGCAGTTTTATAACAGAATATCCTCACACAATGAGCTCAAGTTACAGTCCAAACAACTTCAGCTGTTTGTGAGTTGCACAGACCAAGCCTTCTCAGTCTTATTAGCATGCGCCATATGGCAGTGTGGTGGTGTAACAATGCAAACACAATGGCCTGGTCCACTCAATGCCAGCATGCAGAGCAAGGTCAGTGCTAATTACTCTAGTCTAATCATGATTTCCAGGGATTATCTGACCCTTTGGTATTTTTGATTTCAAAAGGAAAATGCCATCTCAGATGTAGTTTCCAAATCCATCCACAAATGTTTAGCTGGGAGCACATGTGGTTTAGTGAGAGGGCCTCCAGCTCAGGCCTCCTGCACAATCAAACCACTTTAGTGGCCCACAATACACGCTCATCCTGGAAAACACGTGACAAAAAAATACAGACTGTGAGTAAGAGTTGGTCCAGTCCAGCAGAGATGAATAAATAAAGAAAAACACCTGTTGCCTGAGTGAGCTTTGATGTTAAAGAGTAAACTCATAAACTCTGTCCATTTTTTAATTCACAAAGTTCATTTATCCACCTCGTTATAGAAATCATCGTGCATTAGGACATATTGTAGGCTGCCAAATCATTTCAACAAGCACAGTTTTTTTGGACTTAATTGTAAATAATTGAGTGTTGCTTCAGTTTTTCTTTAAAGGGTCTCCAGCTGGAAATAATAAAGTGGTTTCCCCTATTATTAACCACAAAATTACTGATAATAATCTATTCATAACCTTAAAAATCATATCAAGACTCACGCTCTCGTGGGATTTTATGGGCGAATATTTCCACTTATTCCCCCTCCTTCTCTTTTATTTCGGAGTTGTTATCGTTTAGCATGTTCCGTAATACTTTCATAAATCGTCTCCAATGCTCCAGAATGCTGAAATAATGGGCCTTGTCGGCCACCCGCATTTTACTGTGCTGTAAAAATAATGAAAGTCATATTGCGCTGCGGTTTCAAATCTGCAGGCAAACGGCACAAGTTTGAAGGAGGTCCTGAGATGTTTTCTAAATTGCTATGAATTTTCAATTTTCGACGTTTTTGGGAAAGCTGTTTGGAGTGCGCGTGTTTTTTTGGAGCGCAGCCGACAGTTGATTTAGGGGATTTGAGCAAGTGTTGGGGGATATAAGATATTTTTAGTTTTCGAGTCAATATTTACCGAGCTGACTACAGTGACATGTCACGTCTCATCCAAATAAGAAGTAGATTAACTCCAGTTGAAACAGTTCAACTTCTGGCTGCTGAGGTTCTGTGTGTGATTCACACAGCAACGCACCAACCAGCCCATCATACAAAACACCGTCCTGTGTTAAAGGTGTAGCCCCTTTGCTTCCACGGTAAATATTTGCTTTTCAATCTACACTTCTATCATTTTGAGAGCAGACTTTTTTTTTTAGAGGAGCTGTCCTGCAAGGTATCACTAAAAAGTTTGAATCTAATAAATAAATAAACGTTTCCCTAAAAGCTCATAATTCAATCACAAGTGGGCTAAATTAATACATCATTTAAATAAATCAAATAATTTATAGTTTATATATAATTCATAAACATAAATCGTTGATGTCTTTTTTTATATTCATGTGTTCACTGTTTATGCTCCGGTTAACACTGGCTGTAGAATATAATTAGGCTATGTAATGCTGTATATAGTCTGTGCTGCATCTTTACAGACATTATCATTTTGCATAATTTATTATTGATTTTCTGAAATGTGCGTGTCCAATTAAGACTGCCATCCATAGACCATTACTTCATAAAAGAGAAAACAGCAATTAGTTAATAATTAATTATTAATAAAGCTTGCTTTAGGGAAGGCGACTTTACTTGTGTGGCATCTTTCAACAACATTCTAACGTGCTGTACAGTGATACATGAAAAAAGTAAAATACGCATACAATTAAGAGTTAACAAAAGTAAACAAAAATGGAAAATGAAAATAAGCAGAAGTTGAATAAAACAGGAGAATAGAAGTTAGGGCGCACGCAGCCGCAGTGCGGTGCAGGATGGACAGTCCCACATTTAATCCAATAAACCGAGAGATGACTGGAATGTTTAAGCCTTGATTTAAAATAACTCATGTTTTATTTATTGCCAACCACATATTTATTTTATTCATTTTTTGTAATTATTATGATATATTATACTGTAGGCAGTAAAACCACCTGACATGACCCGGTGAGTGAAGGTGTATTGATTTCCTCAGTGTTTCTGCCCCCGTGTGGTGCAGTGACTCTTGTGTTTATCCTACAGACACAACCAACTTCCTCAGTAAACTACACTTACTTGGATGATCCTGCAGGAAAAATCAAAACCACAGTGTAGAAACACTACAAGTAGTGTTACAAGCCATACAAGTCATGCATTCCAAATTTTACTTAAGTAAAAGTACAAAAGTATCAGGATCAAACTATAGCCAAAAGTAAAAGTACTCATCACGCAGATTTCAGAATAATGTTACTGAGTTATGATTACTGATGCATGTGTTCATCACTTTATTGTTGCAGCTGGTAAAGGTGGAGGTAGCTTGTGAATTCCCCCCTGTGATCAATGTAGTCCTAACTTATAAAAATACATCATATTTTATTTGTTGATTCGATTTTGTATTTATAATGCAAAATAACAAAAGTTATTACATACATGTAGTTGAGTAAAAAGTGCAATATTTGCCTCTGAAGTGTAATGGAGTTGAAGTATAAAGTAGCAGAATATGTAAATACTCAAGTAAAGTGCAAGTATCGCAATATTGTACTTAAGTTAAGACCTAAGTCCACCACTAGTAGTAATTTTAGTATAGTATAGTATGTTCATTGCCATTCTAAACTCACATTAAGGTGATCATCCTTTGACTTTTCATATCTTTAAACACAACAAACAGTATGAGAAATGCTGACAATATGGAAACAATTACAACTAAATGTTAAATGACCGTTATGACTTTTTCCACTTTTGATGTTAATTTTCTTCCAGCATAAAAAAAATAAAAAATTCAAAGTATCTCTGCTAAATTCTCCCCATGTTTGTTTCAGGCTATAGTCTACATTTCCTCTGCCAACATTTAATGGGCATGTACAGTGGTTTGTGCAGCTATTGAGAGACAACAAGCACTGGATAAATGTGTGTGTTTTTTATGCTGAATATAAATTTAGTATCTCTTCCAAAACCTTAGAGCCCTCAGATAGAGCTGAGTTTGTCCATAAATCTCCATTTTAATGAGGTTTTCTTCCAGGGAGCCTCATCTTTGTGGATTTTGTGACTTCATACATAATTATTGTGGTAACTCTACATGATAACAGCTGTGAGAGGAAAGTGAAGCCTAGCTAAGTTTCTTTTGCCTTGCTTTGGAATGAAATACCAGGGAAGTTTTGTTCTGCAGGACATGAAATCACTTTGACATATCATCTTTGAACATATCAACAAGAAAGACATTAAATTCCTAACACGTTTCAGGGGGCGTTTACGTCAGATTGCGTTTGCTGAAGGAAGGATAGATGTCTTCATATGCAGGTGGATGTGAGCAGGTAGAGCTGCTGTCATCACCACGTCCTCTTTCACCCTCCGCCTTCTCAATCCTGCAAGGAATCAAACATGCCTCAAGCAGACTGGATTTAAAAGAGGAGTTGCATGGCTGATATCCAAATGTTTACAGGGCCAATTGGTTCTGCTTAAAGCAAATGTTAGGAAGCCGATTGCCCTTTAAAAGAAAACACTAAGGTTGAGCAATTCTTCTCTCTGGCATTAACCACTGGAAACATACTGAAACAGGTCAGAAGTTGTGACAACATAAGTGAGAGCTGGTGAGCAGAGCATGTGTTCATATGATCGGGGCAGCAGTTTATAGTTATCCTAGGTTAACTGTATTATTCCTGCTGTCTGTTTTTATTAAAGTGAATTACTTTCCTGGAAACCTGCTGGGAGTAATCGTCTAAAAACAATAAAAGAAAGTGAAAACTTGTAACTTTCCACTAATGGCATGCAGCTTTGTGTTTAGCAGGATGTCTGTCCAAGGATATTTGATTGGATTTCAAATAAATGAGATCCTGCAATTAGTGGAAAGAAACTTTTTTTTATGACAATACATAATGTTATGTTTCCCTCAGCACTCAGGAACAGGTGGGAAAATATGATGGACCAAGAATTCACGCCACAACTAGCTTTTCTTTCACAAATCACATATACACTGCGAAATTTATTTGATATGACGTTATACTGTTGATTCTGGCCGTCGTTTGATGATACGGCTGAGCTAGAAAGACTGCAGTGAACGTCAACACAGCAAATGGTGATTAAATGAGAAGATGGGGAGCTATTCTGGTCTTAATTGTCCCCATTTCATTGACGCAAGGCTTATTTTGTTTTATGAAAAGCAAAAAAAATGCTCTCTTTTCAACATTTTTCCCTCCAGTTTTATTTTGTTACTTTTTCAGAGTAGCAATAACCAGAACTTATGTGACACATCAGTCAAAGTACAGTAATTTATGGGAATCAATACCAGTGTGTTGACTATTACAGAGAGATTAATTGCACCATAATTGGCTGAGAAAGTATTGACGGCCAAAAACACATTGGGCCAAGTGGAAAGTGATCTTGTGGCCAATAAGAAATGAACTCTGGCACACTGTGTCTGTTTTAATGAGCAGTGTAAGAAGCTGTGAGGTTTTAACACACTCAGATCTCATTTAAGATTAACTATCTACCTCTGCCGGTTTTATTTGCGCGAGTGTCTGCATGTTGCATGCTGGGTAAAAAGCGAAACTCAGCCTCACTGGGATCTAGTGCCTATGGCCTGTGTTTTGTGATGCAACTGCAGTACCAGTGTTTTGTAAAACCACATGTTCATCATAATAACATATTTAAGTATTGTTAAGTTATGTTAAGTAATTCCATCATTGTTTATTAGAGGTTTGTGCTTCAAAGGTTTGTGCTTCTAGTCATGTAAGCGCTGTGTTGGAAGAAGTACACCAATCTTTTACTAAAGCAAAAGCAGTGTACACTATGAAAGTAAAAGTCCTGAACTCAAAATGTTAAAAGTATAAAAGTATTAGTATAAAAAGATACTTTATGTACAAAAAGTAAAAGTTCTTATTATGGAGAATTGCCCTTTTTAGAATAATAGGATTATTATTAATGCATTAATATGTGCATCGCTTTAATGTTGCAGCTAATAAAGATGGAGATGGAGCTACCTACCTGCTTCTTCTGTGGTCTATTTCTGTGCTGTGAGTTGAGCTGTCTTCCGCTATAAAAGCTGCACCAGCCACACATGACACAGCGTCACATGGACGAATGGTAGAATCAACGGCATTCACGGACCTGCCAGGCTGGAATTCAATGGCCTGGCATATTTCCTGGGTTCTTACATTATACACAGGTGGAATACACAGCATGGTTGTGGCACCCTGTAACATGATCGGCTGATTTATGCCACTTAATGTAAAAGAATGTCCCGTTGAGGTTTGCTCCACAGGCATTACCAGCACTTCATCCCGCCGTCTGCATGGCCAGCAGGAGATAATCCTAAACTTGCAGACACTGGTGAGTATAAAAGTGCCTCCGACGGAGATCAGGATGGGGCCCAGCAGTTGGATCCACTCAACAGTGGGGTTGGCTAGGTAGTGTTGCCAGCTCATGGCGGTGAAAGTGATACCCACAAGGGTTAGGAACAATCCAGAGAACAGCAGGGCGGCTCCAGTCTTCTCGCTATCCAGCAAACTGTCTGACTGACGAGGGTGTCGAGCAGGTGTAACCATCTGTGTTGGGTCATAAGGTGGCCCACTGAGGCCTGCTGTAGGATTTCTAGCACTGTTGTTCTCCATTACAGGCCTTTGCACTACCACGTTAATCCAGAAACCTTGGGGTCCTTGATGGCAGATGAGTCCCCTAGGTGTCACATGTGTGTAACGGAGCCACACTGCCTTTCACAGTAAACAGTAAGTCAAACTGAATGGACACTTAGTAACTCTGAAGACACTTACCAGCCAAGATGAGTTATAGATTAACCTGTACTTGAATTTTGTTGGCCATAAGAATGTAGTGTACCAAAATCAGTCACCATGTTTAGATAATAACTTCTCTTTCACAGCATGTGTGAATGAACTCATGTGGACAACAAAATTACTGTTGAATCATGACAGTGTGCACAAAGTAGTGCTGGGTTGGTGAATTAGGGCAGATTAAGGGAGATAAGTCTTTCTGGACAAATATTGGAACAATTTTAATGTGACAAACTAAATCACTAAATGAATCTACTAAATAAGATATGCAGCATGTAGCAAATGATTGAACTGTATTTACGAAAGACCCTATAAAGTTAATATTTTAGTCAGGTATGAGACATGTCACCAGTCCCCAGAGAGCATACCGTGAGGTACTAAGACCATGAAAGAAGATTTGGTATGTTTAATGTCAAGAAAAGGAGATTCCTGCACGCATAGAATGTGATCCGAAATCCACCTTGTCACATGTCATTTCACACAGACACGTTTCCCATCTGCGCTGTTATGCATAACTTATTAGCGACAGCTCATGCTGCAATAGTTGAACAATCAGCCTAGCATGTTAGGTGAAAGGACTTAAAAACACATCACGCTATACTTGTTACAGTCAGGGGCTAAATGAGCTGCACACAAAGTAAAACCCACACGTAACATGCAGGCATCCAACTCAAAGAGCCTCGGCACTTCACCACCAGTGTCTGCTAAAGCTGACTCTTCCCTCACCGTATGGCATTCCTTACTCTCCATCGGATTCATTCTCCTTTTATGGTTGTGTGACAAAGCGGAATTTCTATTGGGCTTGCTAATCTAATCCTCCTCTATAGTATCATTTAGTAGTTGTCAGTGTGTCTCCTTCATAGGCAGCTAGACACAGCTAGACGTGTGTGTGCACCCCACAGTAAAAAACACCTATGTTCATACATTTTTAATTCTGAATGCAAACACAGTGACATGCAAACATGTTTTTCAGTTGAATTTCATAGCAGTCTGCACTTCTCCCAGCGGACAGCTTGCATTTGCCTACATAAAAGCACATCCGCACTGCATTGCATGCCAATCGGAAAGAAGGATCATGAGCAGCTTATGGCAAAGCAAAACAAAAGGTCTTCAGAGGGAAACAACCGACTATCAAACACACAATGCCAGTGGCTGATCAAAACTAACCTGTGTGTGCCTGTGTCCTTGAATGTGTGTGTGTGTCTGTCTGTCTTTATGTTTACCATAGCCTCAGCTCATTTCACTTGGCACTAATGAACAAAAGGACAGAGAATCCATATGAGTGCAGTGTTTAAAGAACCCCCCAGAATTGAAGCTGCACAGATTCTTTCAATTAACAAACTCCAAATATTTATGGACTGAACATTTCCTCTCTGGAAGGAAGGAGAGTTCTGTGTGTGTGTCTCCTGTTGACTCACACTGGGTTGTATTGATCCCCTGGGCTCATGCTTCATTGCACTTGAGCTCTGGCACCATCCTTCAAAAGCACATCTGTCCAACATCTATAAGGTATACCGTCTTTTTAAATCGGAAATCGTCACAAAGTAGCTACGTGTCAAATACCCAGTACATGAGGCTGGGTGACCACTGTTCAGCATAAAACACTGATGCCACTACACAGATGATGTCCATTAAAGGATAAGATTCTGACTTGGAGAATCCTAACTCCACCCTCCATTTCCTTCATGCACCAAGGGAATAAAACACATTGTGCCCCCAGATTCACCCCTATTTTTACCTGGCGGAGTCTGAAGCTTAGTTGTGTAGAAAGGTGAAAGTCCTTGTCACTCTCCTTCTGTGTGAATGCTGTTCTTGTTCTTTCCTTGGTAGAGAGGAAGCCATGTCCTACCTGTTTCAGTACCTGGAACCTGCTCAATATTCAATGGGATGTATATTCTTTATATATATTTATAATCTATCTACCTAAAATAATCCTAATGTTCCATATTGTAATTTTACTATTATATATATCAATGAAGGCTTATTTAACTTGCAATCTATTGCATGTCTGTCTGTCTGTCTGTGCCAAAGAAGGGACCCCTTCTCTGTTGCTCTTCCCGAGGTTTCTTCCTGCTTGCCCTATTAAAGGTTTTTTCTCCTTTATCCAAATCGATGGTTTAAGGATAGAGGATGTTATATGCTAAACAGATTGTTAAGCCCTTTTAAGCAAATGTGTGATTTGTGATATTGGGCTATATGAAGAAAATCAATGACTTGACTTGAAAACAGTCAAGATGATAATAGTCTATTATCCTTGAATTATATCTGCAGAGAAGCAATACAATTTCAATGGCAGATTCTGCTGGGCCAATAAAGAAGGCCCAAAAGATCACTGTAGGAATTAAGACGTGACCATTTCTCAGTCACCCCCTCCCCCAAACACACACTCACACACACACATGCTTACCATGACAAATAGCCTGTGACGTGCCTCTGTGAACATGGCACGGAAGGGTCCACTCCCTCTCCCCAGGGCTGATAAGGCGGCAGAGTCTGCCAGTGGACGGGATTCTGGAGTGTCTCCTCACTGGATTTGACTTCCAGTGAAACATTTCACCTTTCTAGCAGCGGTCAGGAAAACTCCTACACGGAAATCACAACAGTAGCATTTCTGTTTCTGTATTTTTGCAGTTGCCAGGTAACTGCAATACAATTATTGCAGCTTATCATCTTTGTCTAACCTTTAGGCTTTATATCACCTGACTCTTGACCGTGTCTTGAATGTGCAAAAGAAGTAGAGAGGTGAAGGGATACACAACTTGTCCCCCTGAAACTAGCCTGATTTAATTACTTTCAGAAGTCAAATGTATTTTTGAAATACAAATTAATGGTTGTGTTACACTTGAGCGAGATAACAAATATTTTTCCATCCTTGTTACCCAGCAGCTGCAAAGAATTTATGGACGTGTGCGTCTGCCTCTCAAACTCAAGGCTTCTGATGACTTACTAAAACACAAATCGATGAAGAGACAGTCCTCAGCTCTTCTGGTGCTTTGCCTAGATTTTAGGTAAGGTGACCAGATGTTTGACCGGGCACTCTCAGTTTATTGTTACTCTATTGACTTAAAAAGCTGACGTGTCCATAAGACAGTCACTGAGTCATAGCTAAAGAATGAGCAGAGCTTACAACATCAGCTGGTAATTCATGTTCTTTTTCATTGTATTATTTTGACAATACAGCAAAGCAAGAGCCAGTGTGCTGGGATGTGAGTTTGAAAATGTATTTACCGATTGTCACTATCAAATATTTTATTTAAAACATGTATGTGATTGATTGATTGTGAAGCTGATGATCTGCCAGTGTCGGCCAGATAACAGCAGTTTGTCTAAGTCCTTTCGCAGTTGTAAATTCCCTGTCAGTTTTGTTAACAGTGAATTGTGTTCATATTTGTATTGCCAGGGGGAAACAGTTGACAGAGTTCTGCTTGCTGAGTGGAAAATGTGACAGATGCCTTTGGATGTGAGTTTGACATGTTCAGGGTTTGAGTTATTCTAAAAAGGTCTTCTGGGTTTTGGAGTGAACAAGAGGAGCAGAGGAAAAGAATCCATATTAATGCAATAAACTTACACCATCCTTGTTTGTTCAGATGTTTTTTCTCGTGGTGAAGAGGGAGATCAAATGGGCACATCAATTATAAATTGTCCATAAATGTTACTGATGTAGGGCTTGCTCTCTGGATTGTAGAATAACTCAACTCTATGGCTCCAGTGGGCCTTTGGACAAACATAACTGTGATGGTGGACAACAAAGACTAAATGCTCCCTCGGCTCCGACTGTTTCACAGACCTGATTTTGACGTTGAGACGTTCTCTCTCAATCAGCACCAGATTCAACCAGAACCCATAGTTCCCTGTTTTTAAATAGCACGTATTTACTTTAATGCAAAGAGTTAGATGAGAAGGTTGAGCCCATTCAGCAGGTGGTTAGGTTCGTTAGCATGAAGGCTAGAAACAGGGGGAAACAGCTAGCTAAAAGGTAACCAAATCAGATTACCTGCACCTCTAAAGCTCCCTAATTAAAATGCTAGCCTATATCTTGTACAAAACAACACTTTTTTGGACAGAGCCAGGCTAGCCCTTTCTCCAGTCTTAATGGTAAGCTAAACTCACAAACTTCTGTCTGTCGCTTTATATTTAGCATACAGACAGGTTATGTGCGGGACTATTTCTTGGCTGGCTCCACTGCTCCAGGCCAAGAAATAGTCCTGCACATAACCCCATGTAAAACCACAACTTGTCGTTTTACGCTTTTGTTTTTGCACAAAAATAAAACATGTAAATTGGTAAACTTTAGATGTGCTTTTAGGTGGATAATGTTACCCTTGTACAGAGTCGAGTTAGCTGTTTACTAAACTAACAGCCTGTAGATTCATATTTAGCATACAAATGAGAGTGGTATCAAAGCAAATAAGCAAAAAAAAAGCAAATAAGCATAGTTCCCAAAATGTCGAAGTATTCCTTTAAACTCTCTCAACACACATTTCTCTTTATTATCTTGCTACCTATACAGCCCACACTCCAACTCAGTGATCCTCTCAAGTTGTATAAAATGTCTGGCCACACACAAGAGTCTACATATGGACCAACACAGTTTTTGGATATGACTTCAGCTCACATATCTCACTTTGGCCTTTCAGAGAATAACATTATACACAAGAGACCCTAAGATCTCTTCCTCTTCGTCTGAGTGAGGCAGACAGGGAAAAGTAGAGTCAACACTGATGGCTCACACATGTGGCTGTGAAAAGGCAGCTCAGACTTTGTATTTCAAACAGCAAGGAGGAGGTCTTCAGGCAGTGGGACACAAGGCATGACTGAGTGTGTAAATATGCACAAGGTGTTGATGTAGTGCTGAGCGTATACGCACAGTCATGCATACATCCTCCTAAGCAAAACGCTGCATGAGGTTCTCGCCGTGCAAACATTATATCAGTAACACATGTGTGGTGGTGTCTTCAAGCTTTGTTTTCATCCTGCACGTCGATAGAGGGTTTAATACAGACCTTTTTACACGGATTGTAGTCATAAAAAAACACTGACAATAGATTTGCTGTTTTTATCTTGTAGTATTGCAACTTCAGATTTTTCAGTCCACAACATTTAATCAGTAATGTCTGTATATTTTGAGGGGATTTAGAGGGCTTTAAAGGTCCAGTTCACCCCAAGACGGAAATGCTTTTTTTTCTCTATCCCTGATGTGTCCATTCAGGTCATTTCAGTGTGATTTTCGAATGTTTCAACCTTTCCAGTGAGCACAAATTCTGCAAAAGTACATCTGCCATCTGTCTCGACACAAAAGGAATACAGTTCAAACAAGCTGTGATGATTAGAGCGTGGAGACATTTTAGTTTGAGAGATGTTACTGCTGAGTCTTTCAAATGAAATTTGTGTTGCTTTGTCTGACATTGTAGAGGTGAACTCCATACAATTATCTCTAAAACTCATGTAATCACACAGAAACTGACTAAATGGAGAAATATTGTAGCTTTAGAGAAAAATACAATACGTTTTATTGCCCTTTGAGTGACCTGTCGAACATGTCATCGTGACTTATTGATTGGACTTATTGTGCTTCCCATGACGACTTGAGAATGCAGAGGTGCTACTCAGGTGGACATTATGGCCTCTGTAAGAGCTTTTCACCTGCCTCATGTATGAGGAAAACTGCTCTCCTATTTTCACAGGTCCATCTTTAAGCTCAAGCATCAGCATTATTTGCTTATTTTTAAACAGCTTTCATATTTGTTTATGCAATCCATCCCATAATTATCATGCATTTCAGCCTGGATCAAAGTGGCAGACTGACCAAATGACTGACGTTTTCAATAAGGCTAAAAAAAAAAAATAATCACACAGAACGCACTTAGTCATTTTAATATATTTGTATATATTCATATATTACACATTTAATACAGGCACAATGAGAAATCATAAAGTAGAGACACAAAGTGGCTGAGATATTGGTAAAAATTTACAATTTATGAGAATCATTTACACAGTTTTTGCTCTCTTTAAACTCTGTTTAATACAACATATAAAGAAAGAAAGAATGTGAAAGTGACTGCAAAAAGGAGCCTTGTAAGTTTATTTTGAAGGTTTTGTAGGGACAGCAAGAACCAGCTTGCTAATACAGAATACAATTACATCTGTGTACTCTTTTTTTTTTTTTTTCCTCTATTCGGCTCATCTGACCAAAACCACTGATATAATTAAGAGGCAAGACTGTACAAATGTGTGGTGCTACAATTTTAGGATTTTATGTAAACTCATTTGTTTCAGCTACCTTCAAACATTTGGCTGATTACAATTCAGAAATACAAAATTTAATTTCAACAGACATGACTTAAATGGACATTTCCATCATCTATTTAAGATGTCTGCATCTAAATTATTAATAAAGGCTTGAGTCTTACACCAGGTACTGTACTACCGTATGAATCATATAAAACATTAAAAACTGGTCATTACACATAATCACTGTGGCCAGATATGATGAGTTAAATAAAAAAATGATCAGTTTCCAAGAGAGAGATCAGATGAATCAAGTATGGATATGAGTTTAAATCACCTGCAGTCACTGTCAGTTAAAAACTAAAATGAGCCATGTTTTATAGCACAGCGGACAGTAAACAGTAAGCCTGATGTGAAAAGTTATTTCCTAAAGTCCTATCTGCGAGGTCATTTGGCCAAATGATGCACAGTGTATGACACTCCTGCCCTAAAACGTTTCATCAGTTCTCAATCACAGCTTCCAGCAACTAATTGCATCTCCAGACATGTCCCATACCAACACATTAACCAATTTGAGGACCATTACATGGTTGAGGTCAATGATAAACATCCTACACAACATAAACATACTCCATCAAGAAGTACACCAGCATCTACAGCAGCAGCCTTCATAAGTAAAAGACAAGAATGAAACACCAAGAGTCAAACGTGGCAATTTCCCATCCATCCACCAAACCATCTATTTTCTGTACCCACTTGTGCTGTTTAGTAGTTGCAAGAGGATAAAGCTTTTCCCAGCAAGCAACGGGTGAGAGGCAGGACAAGTCAGTAATCTATCACAGGGCAATGGCAGTACTGTGTCACAATATCTAACCACAGTCAACAACAGTGGATTACTCAGTGTCGAGTAGTTGTGATAAGGCATTTCGATCATTAATTTGGCCTTAGTGTGCTACTGCTCACTTACATCGTCTACTGCACAGTGAGTGTATGAGAGGTGAAGGTCAATTGACGAGCACTGAATAGAAAAAGACGAGATATAAAAAGAGTTAAATGATCAAACTCAAATCACAGGAGGCAGACATTACTGGAAGACAGTTGGGTTTTAAAAACAGTTTCCCTTCAACATCCAAATAAAGGATTAAAAAAAAACATAACACAACTGGCACATTGTTGGTGCTATTCTCATTAACTGTGCTGTAGTATACAAAAAATATTAGAGAAAAGTTAAGATTCAGGCACATTTCTCCATTAAGAGGGCACAAGTGTGATTTAAAAAGAAAACACTGCCAGTTTTTTAAAAAAGGCTGCAAGTTAAATTTGGGGTCATGTCCCTTGATATTTTTTTTAAAGCATCTAACATTTGACAAAATGTTTTACAGTCAAGGTCGCTGATATTTTTTATGAAGAATAAAAATTAAGGGCTTAAAAATGTAAAAAAGACATGACTGAAAGGGGGATTTACAAGGAAAGAAATTCTAAAAAGACCACACTGATCACAGACCCCATTAGGGGTGATTGATTAAAAACTCCATGCATTTTACCACAGAGAAACGTAGCTTAAATCTGGAAAACCCAAATCTGGGTAAAACATTGACATTGGTTGCCTACTGATCCACAGTATAAGAGGAGGCACTGAGGTCAGATTCTTTTTTTGCATTAGTTTGAAAGCGTGTTATTATAAATGTCAAGCTTGTGCCACGAGTGTGTGAGTACAGATTCTACCTTCATTGCTTCATTGCACATGATCAAAAAAGACAAATGGTGAGGAGGAGGAGGAAAAGAGAAAAATCAGTAAAGAAAGCTGATTCGAGAGTTGAGTCAGAGCTGGTCGAGCAGAATATTCAGTGTTAATATTTACAGTTCTGAGGGAGAAACCTTTTCTTCTCTTCCACGCAGAATTCATGATTTTGTTTTAAATTCCTTATAGGCTCTTGAAAAATTAATATAAGAGGAAAAAGAGCATCTGAAAGATTGTTAGTGCACTTTTTTTTTCTTTTTTTTTTTATGATTTCAAATACAATATAGATTTATATCTAATCCATAAATTGTTTCTGACTATACAAAAGTGAATTGATCAGAAAGCATTATTAAACTTCATATCTACACATTTCCTGAAAGCTCATCTTCTTTTTCTTTTATTTGTTTTTTTTTTAACAGTGTTCAATACTCAGTGCTGTTTTATTGTAGTGAGATTCTCGCTTCCCGGGCAAAAGCCTGACTGTGCACAGATGATTCCAGAGGTTCAGGAAGCCTCGCGAAGTTGCCAACTTTTGTGTCAAGCGAGATTTTTTTTCTTTTTCTTGAGAACCAGAGTGGTGAGTCACATCAGCAATCTGCCATATAACGTCCTAAAGAAGATCAAAAGACGTGCAGTTTGAGTTGTTGATGCATTAAACATACGAGTATCAGGTATGAATGGACAATCAAGCGTACTACATACCTGTGGCAAATCTCTTCTTGTTGAGAGAAAGTCTGTATCCGGTCCCCTGCAGCTCCATGTCCACTCCTGACAGGGTGCTCCCCTCACTCATAAACTGCACTGCCAGAGTGGAGGGGTTCGATGGACCGCTCGACAGTTCAAACTTGGCCCGCAGGGACCCGGACCCTGGGAGGGGGCGTCAAACACAAACAAATACACTTACTTTCCAGCAACTGATCCAGCTCTCTCCCTCACCGTACACATTCTCTACAGGGAGGATTTAGAACAAGCTGCCTCTTATTGCAAACAAAGAAGAAAAACATGATTTACCTTCATTTTCAGACTTTTCAGAGATGTCACTCAGCTTCCACAGACACTTATTCTGCTCTGAATTCCTAAAATGACAGAAAGAAATAACACCTTAAAGTGCTGCTTTTGAATTAAGATAGAAATGTTTTCAGAGCCTTTTAGATCTCCTGCTGATATAACAAGCGCCACAACTTACCAGATGGAGTTGGGCAGAGACTGCATGTTGGTGACTCCTCCGTCAACAGGCACTAAGATCTGTACGTTCGTGAGAGGACCGGGGGAGACCATGGAGTCCGGGTTGTATCGGTAGTCTACCCGCAGGTCTGCTGTACTCGGTGTGCACTTCCAGTATACGGCAAGGTTGAGCGGGGTGGAATGGATCCCATCAGACAGCACCTGAACACAGCAATACAGTGTAATTGTAAAACTTATGATATAAATATGAGCAAAGCTGCTTTGAGTTTGAGTTTTAATATTCGTAATATCCTCTGCTGCAGTGAGACTGTATAAGACCATGTTTGATGTGTAATACAGAAGTCTGAATATCAACTTAGAAGGTCAGTTAGAATGTTATAATTTTGGCAAATTTTGGTTTTAGTTGGTTTGCTGAAAGGACAGATTCAAGATAAAAACAAAACCAATGTTCTTTCAAAATGTCCTGGAAAACTCAAAGGGAGAAACCAGGACAAGGACTTTTCTTCTCCCATAAACAAAAAAGTTGTTTGTTGATCTGACCTAGTCAATTCATGGATTGTTTGTTTTACACCTCGACAAGCGTATATTTCATTATATTTCTAGATTTCTTGATCCACTACAAATAAACTAAAACTTTATTAGTCAGGAGAACTGAATAAAGTAGGGTTTTATAGTTTCTCTTTAACTTTCGAACATGGCAAGAAGCACATTTCACATTATAAAGTACATTCTGCTTATATTTCTGCTCACTCAACAACACTCATGTTCCTTTTTGCTATTTTCTCAGACTTGTCTGGACGGTGAAGCACTTAGGGAAATATGTTTTAAGAAAGCATTCTTTAACTACAGTTATTTTTTCTGGATAAGGTCTTAGGCTTGACGTTGGCTGACCGACCTGGTATTTTAGGATGTCCACATTATAGTAGGAAGCTGAAGGATTCTGATCTGAGGCTTTTCTGAGGTAGGACGTCAGCGCTTGCATGTTGAACCAGAAGTCCTTGGAATTTGAGTCATTCTGGGAAGGATCACTAGATAAAAGACAAAGAGTCAGAAAGATACACACAGACACACACACAAGGAATAATCAGAGGCTCAATTATTCATCGCTCTTCTTGGCTTTGTGTGTAAAGCTCCAATAGCTTGGAAAAAATGACCCTGTTATATCCAACCAGCTACTAAATCATGAATTCCATTTGATTCAATTAGTACAGCCGTGTGGTCTTGGGATAACTGAGAGGAACCAGAGCAAGACACATTAAAAAAAACAGAAAAAGATGTTATTTTTCTTTACTTTTTGAAAAAGGATATGAACTGTTCACATTTTAAAAAGTCACAGTTTTAAAATAGAACCAACAAATTGAGAGGCATTTTAAATCTTGCACTGCATGTGAGGTAAAAATATACATTAAACACCTTTGACTAAAGAGGTGAAAGATAAAATAATGTACGTTAAATGAAGCAGCTGTTGTGTGAAGTATGCTGTTCTTTGCTATTTTAGGGTGTGAAGTATTTCAGAAGAGACATGGGCTGTTGAGAACCTGGCTGTTAAAGTCTGGTGGAAAATACTTCCCTGACAGCTTAATGATAGGTTTATGTCAGATTACTAATTGAATTTCCTCTCACTGACGCAGACTAAATTTCCTTGATCCTCACTCGAATCATCGAGTCCAAATCCCTCTTTCACTTAACCACGAGTCTGACAAGTTATCAACTCATCAGCTCTGCGAAGTACTTCCCAAGCAATGCAAAGTGGCATTTTATTTTGTATTTTCACTGTTTTTTTCAGATCACCTCACCTGTATAGTAGCTGTTGGTTGGGTAGGATCTGCTCCAACCTGCTGATGTTCTTCAGTTTGAAGGTGAGCACGGCGGGGGAGGGGTTGGTGGTGAACACCTTGATGATGCCCACGGGGAACGACAAGGTCATGTCTCCTGTGATCTTCACAATGCACCTGTGGAATGTAGCCACATGAATATGAATGGCGTCTTAGATAGCATTTTAACCAATTAATCGAGAACTGTTTCTCAAAATATTTATCAAATGTCAGAAAACGTATCTTTGAAAGATGATCAAAATTATTGTTAATCTTTTGAACTTGAGTACCTGACTACAAAGTTTTTTTGGAGATATTGGGTCTAATTATGAATCGGTACATTATCCCACTACCGTAATCCGCTTTTTATATTAAGATCTAACAAAGACCCTTTTAGAGTAGATACATTGTCTTTAAATCCCATGTAAAACACATCTCTCCACCTTTCATAATATACATCTGTATGCTTCTATAGCCTGATACAGAACCAGTTTCTGAACAAGTCCTGGGGCGAGAGGAGTCTTCCTTCAGTTGCGGTCGGCCTGTGCTGTGGTGGTTAAGGCCCACAGCGGGTCTCAACCTCGCACTGTGTCTTTGCTGCATTGCTTATGAAATGTTCCATTTGCTAATCTCTGCAAAAATAAGCCTTTTGCACAGCAGCAATTTAGCAGCAGTTAACCAATAAAAGGCTGTATGTTTTCTCTGCCCCAGACTATAATCTGCCCCATGTAGGTTATCCACTCTGAAAGAATGGTGTCAGACTAATGCAAAACATTCCACACATGCACAGTGAGAGGGAGATACACTCTGCAAAATGCACAACCAAATGTCTACGGAGTATAGTGCACACTGGGCTAGGGACCAGCACAACACCATGTACTGTGTAACTTATAACGTCATATGTGTAGTTAAAGTTCAAATGTGAAAAATGTGAATGCGTGCATGTCCATATCGGGGCCTTTGAGCAGCAAGAGGTCATGTGAGACTCACTTAGTGGGATCAGCTCCTTTGAAGTAAGCATTAACCGACTCTGTGAAGGCCACGGCAATGGGCAAAGCATCTTGGGATGCCAGGGTCACAGGGCTGGGACCGCGAGACGTCCCTGAGAATGAGAAAGGCACAAAGTTTAAGGTCTGTTGACTCAGCTGCAGATCAGACTTCTGTAACGGCGGGCTCCAAAGCTCATGTCAGAATCAGCAAGGTTTGATCATGCAAAGATGCATTATATCATTTACAATACTAGTTTTATTGCATTTCACGAAGTCATTCATTCATACATTGCATATCAGTACATTCTGTTATTTTTCAAATAAACAGAAGTAAGGTACGTTTTTATAGTAAATCATGCTACAGCTGCTTTAGTTTTAATTTAAAACTATTAGACACACACAGCATATTAAAAATGTACCAGTCAAATCATTCACGACTTAATTATTCGACTAATTAAATCTTTATAATGTTAGGAGTTGATGCTGTTGACAGTAAGACAAATGTGAGGAAAAGGTGAATATGGAGAGCACACAGAACAGAAAAAAATGCAATCACTGCAAAGCAAAATATCCAGTTCAGTCCATCCAGCCCATCCTCCAGCAGACTGGTGTTAGTTTTAGTTAAATACAGAAGAAAGTCTTCTTGTATGAACTTCAACCATACCTGCTGGTGTTTCACACCGCTTCTCAAAGGTAGGCAGCTTCGCTATGAACACATCATCCTCTTTACGCCAAATTAAAAGGCATAAAGAAGAGAGGAGATAAACAAACCCAGAGAGCACAAATGTGAGGAGAGATGATGCTGAGCACAGTTGTAAGCCAGGTCCTAAATGATGATGGTGACAGGTGAGTCCTAAGCTGACAACTCTGATATGATTACACAGAGATGAGCTAACAGACCCTAATGATGACATTCTTAGCATCAGTGCAATGTATGCAGAGTAGAGACATTTGACTGTAAGCACCACAGAAAGGAGTGTCTCTAAGGGAAACAAGGCAGACTCACTTTGGCTTAGTAGAAAGAAAGGGGAGAGGGAGAGCAGCTCTGGATCTGGGGAGGAGAGGGGGGGAGCAAAGGTGTGCTCAGCTCCTGTGAGGAGAGGAGTCAGGGAAGGAAGGAAGTGAGGAAGGAGAGAGAGGAGTGAGAGAAGAGGAAAACAGGACATTGTGTTGCAGAGACAAAAGGTATGTGGCAGGTTGGTGAGGAGCTGAAGAAAAGGAGAATAAACAGTCAAAGAAAAGGGAGATGCTCTACAGACGGAGGAGGATGAGGGAGCTTACCAACAGTGGGGGTGTTGCCAGCGCTGAGTGAGGCATTCGAGGACAAGGAGGAGGAGCTCTCCGCCCGGGCGAGTGGTGCAGTAGGAGGAGGGCTGGCGTTAGATGTCTTGGGTGGGCTGAACGGCCGTACCTGAGTGACAGGAGTTGATCGATTGTAATACATCCTTTACAATGTCAGAATGGAATTTTAATAGCAATTAATGACGCACTTTTAGGGAATAATTACTCACAATCTCATTGATTCCTGTAAGTTTTCCAGTGGGGAGTTTGGGCCTGGAGGAGGGTCGTGGTGGCGGAACCAGGGCTCCAGCTGTAAGCGGGGTTGTTGGTCGGTTTGGTACTGGCACTACGTAGAGAAACAAATGTAAGTTTGAATGGTTAATGACAGTTAAACAGTATGGGACTCTGGCACAAACATTTACACACGTGCATGTGCTTCATTCAAGTAGATGCAAAACCATCATGCTTTAAGACCTCTGGTACAAAAACGATAATAGAAAAACATGTTTACAAACATGAAAATCATGAATGAATATCACAAAAAGAAACTCCAAGACGTTGCAAACCAGGCAGTGAGTTAGAAAAGCATTCTGTAAAATAAAATAATGAAAAAAAAAACAACAGGAAACATTAGAAAATTCAATTGTCAAGTCCAAATATAAAACAAATGCACAATATGAGAACATACAGTTAAAATAAAACAAAACTCCAAACCTCAGGCGTAAAACATGTCTCTAGCATCAGTAATAATGTTACCATTGAATATTTTGCTTGATGGAGCTGCTGCCATCGCCCTATCTGTAATCCCAGAGAAGACATCAGAGAAACAGGAGTTGCTGTCTTCTCTGCTGCCCACTGCTTTGCAGTAGGCGTCAGCAGAGTCATCAGAGAGGAAGCGACTTGACCTGCCGGAGCCAGACTGCGTCCTCTGGGGCTCATTTGCAGATGGCCCTGAGCCCTGACGGCGAGGTGGAGCGAGATTATCACTGAAGGCGATCCACTGGCTCTGGGACCAGGACACGGAAGAGAAGGCGTCGACGCTCTTTGGAGGGCTGGCAGCAGCCAGGCTTTTGATGGGGTCGACAGGCTCAGTCGGTAGGGTGATGGGGGCGCTCTGGGCCCTCGCTGGTACAGGCTTGAGTGCTTGAAAAGGGTTTTCTGGTGAGTCCCAGGGAGAGGATGTGGACGAGGATGTGGATTGTTGGCTTTCTGCCAGTGGAGGAGAGCGCTCCCGTTGAGGCACCGTCTCAGCTGAAGGGGGTGATGTGATTGACAGAAGCGATAAACATGACAAAAGTATAGAAGGTAACCCGATCGGACTTTTAGTACAAGAAAATCACAAAAGCAGCAGCACCTTATCATTATCTCAAAATGCTATAGGCATATATTGAAAAAAGCCAAGTCCATTACTACTCAATTTATTACTGACTACTAAAATAAAGAGAAATGTCAATAGGTAATAGCAATAAAGCATGTGTTTTCAATTCACACAGTCACACACACACACATAGCTCAGGATATAGCAGCAGCAGTTACATTTTATCTAAGCTTTGAAATATTACCGTTGGTAAAACTCCTTAATTAAACCTTATTAAATCTTTAGTTAATGACTGTTACACATTTTTCTTGTAACATGAACAATTACTATCTACTGTAGCTCACAGTAAGATTAAAACATATGTTAACTCTGTGTAACCATCGTTTTGGTGTCCTATCCTAACAGAAATATCAGCAATAAATGTGCAAAGCGATGACCCTGATTTTAGACACAATGAAGAATGCATGCGCTGTTTACATAAAGAAAAACTAAAATTGAACAGAAATACCAGGCACAACAGTAGTTGATGAATGCTTCAAGTTCTTTCTGTTAAATCACTGTCTGATAAACAGAGCACACACATTTTACCTGATGCCTCTGGCAGAAAGACGTCTGAGTCATTCATCAGAAAAGATGGAGATGGAGGGATTGAAAGGAAGATAGAGGCAAGGTCTAACAAGAGAAGTTCAAATAAATATATCAAACCAATAAAACATCAGGTAATTTAAATGCAGACAATGGCATTGTAACAAAACAAAAAGCAAACTAAAAAACAATACGTAAACCAGGGAAAAAAATAAAAAATAAAAAAATACACAAAATAAACAGAAATACAATATATGATATACAGTGATGAAAATGAAAAAATCCCCCAAAAAATTACAATCGCTGCTTCATTCAGTAAGTGTTTAATCTTTTTAATACCTCACAGCCTACACTTGTTTAATGTGTCATGTGTGCATTTCTGCTAATACTGCTACACTGTACACAGAGAGATTTAACAGGCTGTAAGCGGGGACTTGATTCCATTCACCATATCTTAATCAGGGCACTCTGTGATGCTCTTTTGACTTTTAAGCCGAGACCTTTGACAGTAATGAGACACTGTTTGACAACATATGTGCCAGTGGGCTTTATAGCCGACTCTCTGACCTCAACTAGGTGCCAATTAACTGTGGATTATGCTTAACCTAGGCAATGGGTCAGCGCTAATGTCACTCTGTTTAAACACTGGTGTAATGCATGTAAAGCCATGAGAGTCACACTATTAACACTGTGTGTTTCAAAAACCTTGAAAGTAAAACAAACACTAAAATGTTTCCTGGAGAACTGTGGAGACTTATTTAGGGAATATCTATATGAAACAAAAAGTAAGGCAGGAATAGCTCACATAAAGTATGTAATATAGAACTGCAAATACTTTAAAATATACAGATATTATGTAAGCATAGAGAAAAGGGCTAGATAGTTAAGAGCTGTACAAATCTGGAAAATGATTGAAAAGGTGAACTGGGGTAGAAGAAGGCTGCTATTTTAACTGCATAAAGTCAAATATTCTGTTGACCTTAGGGGTCAGTTCCTCCATCTGGGACTGCCCTGAGAGGAAAGGTTTCCAACTGAGCAGCTCAGAAAAAGAAAGAGAAGGAAGGGGAGAGACTACATAGTGCATAGAGAGACGGTAAGATGAAGGAACAGAAAGAGCAAAAAGGACTGGATCATTGGGTCGACCGAGTGAGTAAAAAACAGACTTCTTGTGTCAGATTTTCATGAAATCAAACTCCAGTTTTGAAACGATCTATGGTCTGTATAGAAATTCAATGTATTTATATTCTGTAATTGGGGGAGGGATTCACAGGAAATTATGCATACGTGTAATCCTGTGCATTTTATTTAACTCCCTTTACTCCTTGTCAGAGCTGTGTTAAGTTAACATTTCCTGCTGCTGCTGTGAAACAGTGAAGCAGTCATCAATGCGGTATATTGTCACTGCGGTAACTGATCATCATCAAAATATAAAACGAGACAGCAGTCATATTTTTTGCCAGTGGACCATTTTACATTTTTTTAAGGGGGAAATTTAACAATAAGGAACAGCCACAGTGAGCTGTTAGATGAAGAGTTGCAGGCTGCACACCCTCAACTTCTCAGCAAGACAACCAATTCCTTTTACTGCGCCTTGATGTTGTGTAAAAATCTCACGCCATGATAGGGCGAGGGCTTAAACAGAATGTGAGTTTGTTTGACTGCACTGTAAACAGATACACCTGTTGTTCTTCTGTTGTATCTTTGACAAAGTACCTGCTCAACAAGTGTTTGCCATATTTTCTGTTGCCACCAGTAACCATGGGTGTCGCCAAATCAACCAGGACTGAAATCTTAAGGATTAAAAAATTAGGCTTTACCTGTTGTTGATGACACAGAAAGAGAGGAGCCAGCTGCGAGAGTCGGGCTGAACGGGTCCAGAGACAGAAGGTCGTTGTTAGCCAGTCTGAAAGAGGACAGAGTGAGAGAGAGTCAAGTCAAAAACATGCACAAACACATACAAAACAGACCATTTACAAAGCATAGATAGTGTTAACATGGTGAAAGTGGTGGCAGTCCTGAGCACTTCATACATATACATACTCATATGATGTTGGCACTCTGGGTTTTGCCAGCTCATCACCTGCAGTGAAAGAAAAACAAACAGAAAATCAGGACCCACAGACCTGCACAGAGTGACGACAGAAAATATACTCTCAGAGAAACAGAAAAATTAAATAAAAACCCAACAAAGAGGTTTTCACCGGCTAGTATTTGAAGAGATTTGCCAAAAGTCATGTTTGAATTACATCACACCTTAAAACAGAAATACAACCTGAGGTTTTGACTCAACAAGTGAGAACCACCTATGCCATGAAAAGTCACAGAAATATACTTGATTCAGGTTAGATACAATATATTTTTTTTTATTTCTGCCTTACACAGTGAAACCTTAATATGTTACCCAAATACTGCAAAGGGTTAACTTCAAATGTGTTTTTAATGTGATGGTAACACTTTACAACAGGGGATGGAGTGATTTTGTAACTAAAAAAAAAAAAAGGTCAGGCATTGTTATTTTGTGCCCCTTTCTAAAGTGTTACAATACATTGCGAAGATCCATTTAAGCAACCTGAAGCAGCACTTAAGCACCAGAGGTAAGAGGATAAAATTGAGAGGACCTGAATATAAAACCATACATGTATGTAAATCCTTAAAACATAAACAGAAAGTTTGCAGTGAGAGAACGCAGTGTCAGTGGTGTTAGCTTGTGTCAGCTGGCTGTGTGAAAAGCTCCGATGAGGGGACAGAGATGAGGGCTGTGGCAGATATTTTGAGGGGAAGGGAAGGCAGGGTGGCTAACTACTGTAGTGAAAACATACTCACCAGGCCCCTTGGCCTTAGAGCTTAATGTAGATACTCCTGTGACCCCTAAGCGTATGTAGAGTATACATCTGTCAATGCAGTTCCTTGTGTAAATTGATCTTAACTCTATCAGTGTTTGAGCTGCAGACTGTGAGTATTATTACCATTTAGTTACATACAAACACGGTATGTGAAAGCAGCTTTTGAAAAGAGAAAAACATAAATTTTTCGCTCATAAAAAGGACGTTTTGGATTTATATTCAGTGCTTTTTCACACCTGCATTAACACCCCATGGAACATGATACATGACCTGTATGTATAACTATTCTTCAAGCATTTCTCAAGAACTTGGGCACAAAATCAAACACACACAAAACTACCCTTCTACAAACTGTGCCAGTTTGCAGAATGGAAAAGATAATTTCGGACATGTCAAAACCTAAACAGCTAATTAAGCAATTAATCTTATTTGTACCATGGGAGGGAAATATCCCTCAAGCTCACATTTACAGCAAAGAACAGTTATTTACTTTTTCTCTGGATATGTTGGTTTTGGCTAGGTTTCTGGATTTTCCTTTTTAAAGACAACCTCTTTAAAAACAACTCATGCCAAGAAAAATGTAGTTGAGAAGTCGTACAGTCGGCCCCCTTCACAGTCATCCAGCAACACACAGATACAGAAAGGTCAGACAGAGAAAATACTCACTGGACTGGTTCCTCCGCATCTGTCCCTGAAAACAAAAACAGACATTAATTAATCAAAGACGCAAGCGACCCACCACGAATTTTCAACCTTTCCCTGCCAGAGGTTTGCTCAATTTGTTGGATAAAAAAAATCACAAATGAGACAAAACTGCTAAGCAGAATTGATTATTCTCTGAACAGACAAACATGCATTATACAAAATGAAAGTATCGTAAGGGTCATCTTGTTTTTCTCAGCTTTGTTACAAGCCTCGAAACCTTAAGCCTTTGATAGTGTTAATGTAACAATATATACGATTTTAAACATATAAACCACAATGAAAATAGGAGGGTCGAAAACTGTATTATTAATTATTCCCAGTGGCCAAGGGAATTTTCCACTTCAGAGTTAAAGACAGTAAATCACAGGACTACTCTCAACTCACACATACCAGACGTTAAACCTAGGGTGAAAAATTCAGCAGCCCAAAACCCTGCATGGAAGCCCATACACCGATCAGTCAGGGACAACAGAGAGCGTGCCCCCAACACTTCACCAACTTCCTTTACAGAGCCTTTTTTTCAGGACATAAATCTGCCATGTCATGCTGCGTAACACAAGATATGCAAGATACACTCTTGAGGGTCACCAACCCAATGGAAACTTAGAGCATCAATTTCAATAAAGAATTTATTCACACAAGGAGAAAGGTTGGGGTGGGGGTGGGGGTTGTCAAGGGAGGAGGGGAGAAAAAGAAACAAAATGGGTTTAAGGAACATAGCAAAAGCGTTTAACCACCGTAGAGCTGTGAGGCCAGGGTTTAGTCCCACAGGCGCTAAGCGGCAAATGGGTTCAATTACGGCTCTTGCTGGCCACACACACACGACTTCCATTGCTATTTCAATAAAGGGAACACCGCAGAGGGGGAACTGAACAGGAGGAGAAATGAAAAAGACAGAAAAATGAGCACTGAGGGGAAAAAAAGAAAAGAAAATCTCTCAATAATTCACACCAGATGATGCAACGTTCGTCATCACCTTGGATGTATGTTTTAACTTTAATCCAGAACTTTTCTGTAAATATAAAATAGGAACAGGGTGTGAAGCAGAAATGTGAACAGACAGAGAGGAAGGCAAATGTAATGTAATGACTACTCTGGTATTTAAATGCAAATCAGAGTCAACACACACAAACAGCGGTCTGGGTTTTTTGTACTTTTAGGATGAGAAAGTAATTGTGGGTTTGAGTCTCGACAACAACCGAAACCAAACTGCAATGAACAAAGTCAAAGGTTTAAAAGAGAACATCTTTCCTCCTGAATCTTGTTACATTAAATAGAAAAAACATCCTCTATAAACTTGTAACTTATCTTTATCATTAATTCCATGGGTGGAAAAAAAGAAAACATTTGTAAAAACTAGGCAACTAACCCCATAAACTATTCATAAATAACCACAACAGAGTCCTGTCTAGAACAAGCGGGCTCCAATAAAAATGAAAGAGTGAAAGCAAACAAAGAAACAAGGAAAAAAAGAGTGAGGTACAAGACAAACAGTGAGGAGAAACAGCAGAAGAAAGGAGAGGCTGAGGGGAGTGAGCCTAAGCTGAGCCTAAGCTGAGAAGAAGATGCCGTGACATTCGTTTAATGTTCAGCCGGGAGAGTGCGGCGGGTGAAACCCACTAGACCCCCTTTGCGACACTGAGCGTGCCCTCTCAGCCGCTCCACAACAACATTAACAACAACAGCAGCTCAGTGCACACACGGTGCATGTTTGCACACAAGCAGTAGTGGTTTTAAATTTTAATGGCAGCGGCTATTTTCATGGAGCAGCAGAGAGTGATTCAGAGATTGAGTGATGTTGAGGGACAAGGAGCTGAATGAAGGGCTCCATGACTGAGGTCATGGATCAGACTGGGCTCTGTGTGTGTGTGTGTGTGTGTATAGCCTGGCCACTGCCGCAAAGCTTTCCCTTAAGTGCCTACAAGGAGGGCAGTGTGCATGTGTGCATGTCTGCACTAGGGCCAACAACATCAGATACTTTACTCAGAAATGATTGTTTCTGAGTTTTTGATATTTTTTCTTTAAAAAAAAAGTAACCCAAAAAACATTTGACATGAAACTGAATTTGAAGTAAAAACCAAACATGAAATGTTTGATCAGGCACCTTACTGAATCAGAAGCAAATCTGGCATATTAAATAAATTAGACATAACACATACGCCTTTCCAATGTAAATAAAATAAGCTTCAAGAAAGAGTGACTAATGGCAAACATCTACAAGAGGCATAGTACGGTTTCATGGCTTCCCAACTACCCTAACAGGGGTTAGATATTCTCCTGTTGCCCTCTAGTGTTGCAGAGGCAGACTGTTCCACTGCAGCAGGAGAGGACAGCAACAGGTCTATGTTTAGGATTTTTAGTATTGGACATGTCATGGAGCCGTACCGAGGTCGAGGGTGACAGGATGATGTTTCCAATGGAGGCTTTAAGCTCATCGATGGTGGCTCGGTTCTGATGCGTGCCGTTGTTTGGCTGAACGGGCTTGATTTCTACGTGGAACTTCCTGGGTTCATCTTCATCCTCTGAATCGCTGGACGAATAGAAGGAATTCTCTTTGGCATGTGAGCAAAAAAAAAAAGTTAAGGAAACAACAGGCACAGAACAGAAAAAGAAAGATACGAAAGAGACTGTTTTTATTTGGCCTTGGTCTCAGACTGCAGACGTGTGTGAACAGAAAAACAAATAGCAATCAACCCTTGTTGTCTTTAAGCTGGACTGAGACTGAGAGTGAGAACAGCATCAAAACAATGAAAAGGATATCATTTTCATTTACTTCAGGTCTGATACAGAAGCCCTCTGCATCAACTTGGGGAACGTTCTACAAAACACAAACAGAAAAAAAGTTACGTTTAAACTCAAATTTTGTTGCACTGTTCAATTAACAGAGTTAAAAAAAATAGCATTGCATGTGTATCCTATACATTTTATTTTTTATTTAATTTACATCTTATTGTGCACACATTTTTTATATTTTATTGTTGAATTACATTTAAGTATGTGCATTATTTTCATTATTGATTAATCTGCTGTTTATTTTCCAGATTAATCGTATAAATTGTAAATAAATAGTGAAAAATGTTGGTCCCAGTTTCTCATTTTGTCTGTCCAAAACTCAAAGATATTCAGTTCACTATGATAAATAAACAGAGGAAAAACAGGAAATCTTTTTTGACAGGCTCAAAACAGCTGTTTCTGCCATTTTTGCATTAAAATGACTTTAACAATAATTTGATCAAAATGGTTGCAGCAATTATTTTTCCATAGATCGACTAATCGGTTAGTCGACTAATCGTTGCAGCTCTAATTTAAAGTGACATTTTTGACAAGAAATTCTTTCAAACTGCTGTAAATTAGTCAATATATGTAACATTACACAACTCAAAATAGGACAAACAATTAACTGTTAATAATTAATTAATTAACTCTAGTTACCTGTTGAATGGTTTCAACCTATTTTCTCTGTTTGCATGTTAATCTCCCTTCTTATACTAAATTCAAGTCAAAACTTTATAACCTAGTCCAAATTTAGCAATTTTTATTTTAATTTAAATTTGTCTTGGCATCAAAGCCAATTAGTTAGAATGCATAATTTAATACATGGAAAGTTCCACATTTATCAATGGCAGTCTTCCTAGGTTTTACACAGACAGGAAATAATCACTCCCTTATCTGTATATCTTCAATTATAATGCATATGGACATGGGTATATTACATTTGTAACAACTGAAACCCACTAAGAATAATCTAATTCCAGTATTTCCCCAAAAAGAAAACACTGGAAAATGTCCCTAGACACTTCCACACAATATTTTGCTAAAACACTTCTGAACAAAGATTGTCATCATGTGCACCATGAGCTTACATTTTTACTATTTGGATCATCACATTAAACATTTATATATGCGACTTGGATATAGATGTGAGGATACATTAATAGTAATATAGGATAGCAAAAATGTTTGGAAAAATAAGTTCTCCTATTTTCCTTATGTTTATGAACTGTATTTGCTAATTTGATGTTTTGCTTACAAATAAAGAGGATATTTACTATTGTATTAATATTTACTTTGTGTGTTTGTGTGTGTATTATCTTGCTTACAGCATTCTGGATGTCTATGGCACCATAGTATCCAGGGGGAGCGCCATTGGCAGTGTTCTACAAGCACAGAGAGAAATGAATGAATGAATAAATGAACGAGCAAATCTACAAAACAAACAAGAGGGAGCAGAGAGAGAGAGGTAGAGGGAGAGAGAGAGAGAGAGAGAGCGAAAGAGCGAGAGAGAGAGGCAGAGCGAGAGAGAGTGAGAGAGTCACATGTTTAAGTAGTAAAATACACGGCAGAATATAATGATTCACTTCTTCCTGTTTGAACATGCAAAGCTGAAATGTCAATGTGAGTATGGACTCAAAGTTAAAGAATAACTGGTGAAGATTATACTCACAGCAGCTTCAACTTCTGTTGACTCCCTGGAAAACAAAATCATCACATTATGATAAGAGGGTTTTATTTTATTCTATTTTTATAAGAGGGAAAACATAAATGAGTCGCATAAATTCTGTTAGTGGATTAAAGATGCAGAAGTTGTCACTTACGTGGAGTCTGTGTCCTTGTCTTTCCTACGACCTGGGATGCCAAATGGTTTTCTCTTTCTTGGTTTGGCACCTTCATACAAACATTTTTTTTTTTTTAACCACAGATTACAAACGTATAATATGAGTTTTAACTGCCTTTAAAGATTCAATGCTTTACTTTAGTGAAATGCCACTTGAAGTGTATTTGATGAAATCTTTCTTGTATATCTTTAACTTTATAAGAAGACTTACCTTCAGTAGCAATAGCTGCATTGCACTCCTCAAATTCAATGGGTCCTAATGAGACAAAAAAATATTTTAGGTTCATTTGGCACAGAAAGGGTCAATGACCCACTGCTGTGAATGCTGTGAATGTACATCACGCAATAATCGCACACACACACACACAC